CATGGGTGAGCCCTATCTCCAAGGGTAGAAGTTGGATCTCAGTGTCCTGCTTTAGTTTCTGAGATGGGAAAGAAAAGATCACATAATCAGAATTCCTAGGCAGACAACAGACTTTTCCTAATTAGGGACGAGTGAGTGAAAGAAGACTAGTAAAGGTAAACTGGTATAATTAAGAGACACTTCCATCCTAATTCTTCTGGATGAGGAAGAGCTCTCTGATTGCCAAGAGGTGAAAACGACAAAAGAAGCTTTAAATGGAGTGAACTGGGTTGGCATGTCTAAACATTGGTGCAGTTTGGAAATAAGGTTGTATTCTTCAGTGATGAATAGAAATATTGCTTAGTGGTTTTGTTTTTGTATCTGGCAGTCCCCTCATCCAGAGATGACTTGATATTGGGAAACAAACAAACAACCAAAATAGCTGTGGGAGCCTCTATTGGGAGGGGGATGTTTCCTCCATATATCCTAATTTCTACTCAATATATTTCCATACCTCTTTAAAGTGTGTAGTAATAATCGTAAAATGCAGTACTTAGTCATCTGCTACTCCTCAATCAATATACATTAACATGCTGTCATATGGGGACTAGAAAGATGTGGAAAACCCAATCCTTTTTCTCGGGAAGTCAGGAAGCTCATATTTGATGACTCTTAGTATAAACTAAGAATACTGTCTATATTTGTTTACCCTTAACAACAACTCTGTAAGGTAGATATTGCTCCCTGCAATTTACAGAACACTGAGGCTTAAAGGTTTTGGGTAGACCGAGATCAGGCAAGTAGAAAGTGGCAGGCTGTGGGTTGGGCTTGAAGTCCTTGTTTATTCATTATTCCCTGCTTGTTCTAGTAAATCCGCTAGAATCTCAAAGTATTTTCCAATGATTAATGCTCTACTCTGTGTCGGGCAGACTATGGCATTTTTCAAAGATTAGAAAATCCTGGAGAAGGTAAGGCATTTACCCCCCTATAGGTGCCTTGGCAGTGGCCGTTGTGGATCCAGAACACACCCTTTCTGATCCGACATCTTCCTTGCAGCCCTGGCCCCCCAGAGGGTCAGTGTCTCTTCCAAAAGCTTGGGGGCCCGGGTAGACTGTGCGTGTCCCGTTTCTTTCCCGAGGGAAGATGATCCTAAAGGCGACCTGACTTCTCTCCCCCACGGAGCTGCCATCCCACAGGCGGCCGCCAGGGGTCCCCGCCCGGCGCCCCCGCGCGACAGTCGAGCCCGGCGGGCTGCGCGGCGCGCTGGGCGCATGTGGGGGCTGCTTTGGAGCGGCGGCGGCTGCAGCTGGAGCCCGGCGCCCGCCCGTCCCTGGCTCGCTGGGACCGCGCGCGCTGGCCGGAGAGCCCCTCGCGTGGATCGGCAAGCGTCGCCCCACCTGCCCCGAGCTCACCCCTTTTCTCTCGCTCTGACTGCAGCTGACCCGGCGAAGGGAGCCGACGGGGCCCTGGGCTGAAGGAAATAACCCCACGGTGAGTGAAGAGCAAGCGAGGGAAGGCAGCGCCCCAAGGGCAGGGGTGCAGGGAGCACCTGGGGACGGGTGCAACAGGGCGCGGGAGGTGCGGACCCGCTCCCCCGCCGGCCGGCTGCGGGCTTCCGGGGCTGCAGTCCGCTTCAGACCGCTGCCGGCGCCCTGGCTTCTGGCCGGCTCCGCGTGCGCACTTCGCGGCAGGAGCAAGGATCCGCTTCCCACCCCAGGATCCGTGGCCTTGATTTTAAAAGATATAAATCAATAAAATCCTCCTTCCTTCGGAGTGCAGGTCTGTCCCCGAACCCATCCCGAATCGCGGGTGCCTGCAGGGTGCGTGCTGGGCTGCGGGTGGCGGGAAGACAAACTTTTGCAGAAGTGCGCCCGGGGCAGGGGGACCACGCTGGGGCGTCTGGATCCAGAGGGAGGAGACTCGGCTTGGGGCTGCGCAGGGGAACTCCGCACAGTCAGGTCGCCCCGGGCTGTTCCTGCTCCGTGGAGGTAGGGAGTGTACAAAGGACACAAATCCTGCAGAACTCTTGGGCCAACAACTGTCAAACATCTGGAATCCCAGCTCTTCCCTTTCCCTGCATTGGGGAAGAAGGTGGAAACCCTGCAACTTTTCTTTGATTGCCCCTCCCCACCTTTGGACTCCTCTCTGGAGGGTAAAGAACTGACGCCTGGCGCCTGGCTTGTACCAGAGACCCTAAACCCCTCGGGATCCCCCCCACTCCCTTTCTGACTCTCCCATACGCCCTCCCCACAGGGACCTCGCAGCACAGCCGACCGAGATCGTGGCGAATGGCCTTTTGTTTCTCCGCGTTTCCCCTATTGTTTGCCTTTCCAACATCTGGCGGGGCTTGGGGAGAGAAGGAAGCCCCTCTCGCTGTCCCCCCACCCCCTACTCCAGCCTCTGGGCCAGCTCCAGTAGGGGATCCCAGCTGGGGAAGGAGAGGAGCCCGACCCCAGCGAGGCCGCCCCACCCGGGCCTTGTGGTTAGAGGGCGGAGGGAAAGTTGTGCCTTCCCCGCCTCCGCGGCTGCCTGTGGCCCAGGGCGCATTTCTCAGATCTGATCCCAGGCGCGCCACAAAGGGCAAAAATCGGGGAAGGGTGCTGCTTTCGAGAGAGTGGAAGCAAGGTTCCGCCCCAATCCACAGTGTCCTGCGGTTGGTTCCGGAGGATTTCAATCTCTAGCTAAAGGCATTGTGGCTGGTCCGCTGCCTGGGCAGTGGGAGGCGGTTATGGCACCCCTAGTAGGCAGAAAGCTGAGGTTCTGGGGTCTCTGCGAGTCTCTGGGGGCGGGAGGGCAGGCCAGAAATTCGCAGAATGGAGATGCAAATAACCTAGGAAACCTCAAGACGTTGCCTGGAAATGGTGGTGTGGTGGCTCACTAGGGGGTGAACGTGGAGTTCTGGCTTTGCGTAGGACTCCAAGTTTAAATCCCAAGTTCTTTTTCTGCATCGTAGAAAAAAGAGGACTAGAGGGTTGCAACGCACGCACGCGCGGCCAGAGCAATGTTCCTGCTTCCACGTCTCAGTGAACAGGTGGCTTAGGATGACCCTGTGGGTGTGCCTGTTAGATTATAGGTGGCCTGTTTCCCTGCACAGGTTAGATGCGTACACATCGTGTTCATTCTTAGTGAGTGTACTGTAGATTATTTATTAAAGAACTGGAGCAAAAGCAAAGTAGCCACTCGGAGAAGGCAGAGTCCCCAGGTGGTGCTCATAGTGGCCTCTTAACAGTGAGGGCAGGCCCAGTCTGTGCACCTGTTGGGACCTATTGCTCTATTTCCTCGTAGCCTTGAGTTGACCTGGTGTTGCCAGCTTTTTCTGTGAGAAGCCCAATCAGTGCCTCTTCCAGGGAGACTCAATTATACTCTTTTTATTTTCCTGCTTTTGATCTCTCCCCAACCCCGGGAAGGTAGGAGGCTTATTTAGGAACACCTGTGACCTATGGGCCCATTCACACATTTTAAGTGGAAACTGTGTGCTTGCCTCTGCACAGTTCTAGGAGTTTTCCTGTTGCCAAGTTAACAGAACTTTTGAGCTTCCATTTAACAAAAAAGAAATGAGACTGCCAAGTCAGGAATGTGACACACAAAGCACTTTCTCCAGTGATTTCTGGATATTACCAGTGGGACCAATAAAAGAAAAAAAGTAACATCTTTGAACAACTGGAAGGTACTTTATAAACATTTCATTATGAAAATGATCTCCAACAAAGATTCCTCTGAAATGTAGCAGAAGCAGAGAAGCAGCAACAAAAAGGATAGGAGTTGCTCAAGAAGTACCCAAAGTCATCATCAATGAAGTAAAAGGACAACAACAGGGTAATTGTAGGGCAAGATAAGCTTGTTTGGTTTCTTTAATTTTAGAACTAAAAAGAAATTCTTCCCCAAAATATCATTGTAGGAAAAACAGAAAATACAGACAGGTGAAAATGAAAAAAAAAAAAAAAAAAAAAAGGAAAAAAGAAAGAGAAGAGGCTGTTATAAACAAGGTTCCCATGAACAATCTCATCTAATTATTTCCTTGGAATAAACTTCTGGATGATCGCTAAGTCAAAGGGGTTGATGCACTCTTTAGGATATTTAAGATTGCTGTGTTGTCCTGTAGGAAATGTCTGCCAGCTTACCCTCTCCCACCAATATACAAGGAGATTTGTTTCCTATACTTTACTCCTCAATGACATTCTATATTATCATTCTTTTTCATTTCTGGGATATTGATGGAAGGGGAGTATCTTGTCTTATATTGGGTTTTTTAAATCAAGTTAGATTAGACATTTTCCTACTGTCTGCATTTCTTCCTTCATGATGATGTCAGTCTGTGTCTTTGCGTATTTTTCAGTGTTTCCTTTTGATTGGATGTGCTCTTTATAAAAACATACTGTTCTGACTTCTACCCTGCTGCACAATCAAACAATCTGTATTGCCTGGAAATACTCAGCTTTCTTGGCCTTTTTCTTCCCTTCTACATAGCAAACACTTAGCAAGACTGCAACCATGAATGACTAAATAATTGACATAATTCCAGTAAAGTTATTAGGGAGACCAGGCAGAGGCATTATTAGAGGAATTCGTGGAAAATAGCAAGTGTATATCTTCACTTAGTAGCTTGCATGTCCTGGCTCTTTCACAGCTTGTAGTGCTTTTTTTTCATTTGGAACAACTCTGTTGATAGTTGTTTTTACTAAATGGATTACACTAACTCATTGTATTTTCTGATACTTCTGCTGATAACCCGTATACCATGATCCACAATTTGTTCTTGTTCTTTTAAACATTTCTTCTAACTTTTTGATGGAAATTTGCCTCACTTTTATCATAAGATTGTCTTGCTTTGACAGTTACCATTTGAACCTTGCACTCGGAACAACCTAGAGTCTGAATAGCTTGGCAGCATGCCCTCTAAAGCATTAGCAGGAGAGGTCTCCCAAGAACTGAAGGTACATTTCACCCTCTTTTGTGCATTTGTGTAGCCACAATCTCTGTTAATTCTTGCTTGAAGATACGTGAATCTGAAATTGGGTAGAGGAGGAAGAGGAAGAGAAAATTCATTTTAGCTAGGTGGTGAATTAATACAGATGAAGGGCCATATAAGAAAAGTAAACAATCTAGTTAATCTGAGTATAAAATAACTTGTAAAAAGATAAAAGATATTAAAGTATCATATATTATTAGAATGGCTAGTTTAATTAACTAACAGAAAATAAAGTCTTCTAACTACGAAAATCTATTGTAAAATTTTTCCATATTATGACTCTAGGCATTTCATTTCACGCACGTGAAAAGCAATGAATGACAGATACTGAACTACTTTTCTGCAGCATTTTCCATGCTTTCTGATATAGGAATTAAACAGTATACATCAGGAATAAAGAGTGCTCTGCATTAGAATCATTGGCTCTCAAAAGTGAAATGACAGCTTAATGGTCTTCTAATTCAACCATCCAGCCCACTTCATTATGGATCTTCACTCTTAAAGTAATGAAATACCATTCTACAAACAGCATCATTTCAAACAAACCAAGCTGAGAAGCAAATGGGCCAGAAATGTCAACCTTTTTCTCTGGGCAGGAGAGGGGAAAGGAAGAGTATTGACTCTTGGGAGCTTGTATAAGCTCTTTTAATGTGCTGAACTTTCATAGAATAAACACTCTTGGCAGCAAGAGGGTTAAGTCATTGAAATGTTAACATTTTGCAACATTCTCTGCTCCATATCCTCTAGTCATTATCTTGGTGAAGTTCAAAGGTGGTAGAGCAAAGCTAGTTCAAAATGGCCAAAGGGAAGAGGAAGAGAGTAGAAGATGGAGAGGGAATCTCACTCCTTTAAACCTGTCTTAAGGACTTTCTAACAAGAATCTTGGTCACCAGGGGAGGGTTGGCCTTGCTTCTCCTTAGAGAGGGGCATGTGACTCATGTTCCAAGGCCAACCTTCAGAGACAGCAGACATTACATAAACCACCACCAATCCAACAGACGCAAGCTTACAGGATAGCACAACAATCCTTAAAAAGAAGGCAAAGGAGGAGGAAAAGGACAAAGGAGATTTTGGAGGGGAATAGAATTTTAATTCTAAAAATATACCTTATTTTCTCCTGAGTAGTGCTGTGAATTTGTGAAGGAAGTAGAGACATCTTCTCATTTCTACTTGTACAATCTCCCAGGCACAGTGACTGTATTTCTTTTCTTTCAGGAAATTGACTATCCTGTTGAAATATCTCCAGAGTTCTAGGATGTTCACCTGGGGGACCCTAGCTCCTGGGTGTTTCATCTCATCTTCTTTTATGTCTTCGTTTTCATTCTCTTCTTCCTCCAAGCATTGTTTGAGGTACTCCGCCTGCTGATGAAGTCGTATTTGGATTTCTTTCAGGTGTTTCTGTTTCCAAGTGGATTCAAAAATGTATCGACTGAAGATGTTGAAGGCCTGTATGGACATTTCATAGAAGGCCTCCTTGAGGTCCCCTTGCAGAGACTGGGTGTGTGATAGAATCTCTTGGGGCAACTCAAAAGCTTTGTTTTCTCGTAGACATTCCTCAGGAAATGAATTGCTCATACTGCTCAGAAGTCTCAGATTTTGCCAGGTGACTCTCCTCAGGTGAACATTCAGCAAGTTACAGTTGAGACAGAGGATGCCAGTAATGCAAAGACCCACGAGGAGTGCTCGCCACAAACACTTTTGAATCATGTCAGGCTTTGGGCGTGATTTTTTTTTTTTTTCGAGCTAAAAAATTCACAAGACCCAACATCCACAGTGATGTTTTCAGTACTCCTTCATGTGCCTTTATATACCTGAATATCGTCAGCAGGAGGAGTTTTCTCATTGGTTGTTTTACAGTTCTCAGGGTTGCGGCCCCTTTCCTTTGCCTCTGAGGCTTTTTGGCTTTGGGTGACTACACTGACTTTAGAAGTGCTATCTTGTTTTTATTTGTTTTGAGAAAAGTGAGCAAAGCATTACCATTGCATTACCTTAGATGTCTGGATAATCCATCTCGTCACTAAAGAATCATCATAACAAGATTGATGGCGGGTATTCCAGAAAGCTGAAAGCTGTGACTCTATATACATAGTCACCCAATTCTATTACACAGGAGAGAGTAATCCTTCATGAATTTTTTTCTTTTTTTTTTTTTTGGTACCTGTTCCTATCTATAGCCAAACCTCCTTTCTCATTGAGTTAATCATAGACATTGACCAGATGACTGTGATTATTTGATTGCTTGGTCACCAGAGCTTAATATAGTTTATGTTTTTCTGATCTTGTTAAACTAAGCTTCTATATGTGGAAATTTCCTCTTTTTGTTTGATTTTCCTGGACCTCATAAAAGATGAAGAACAGAGTTGGTCAACTTAGCATGGCACTTACCAAGTAGAAAACTACCCCCGTTTGGTGTTCTGTTGCCATTAGAGAATGTTGATATTCTCCAACTGTCCTTTCCTTTAGTGAAATCCATCTCTGGTGAGCATTTCCTATGCCCCTGATGGGGTTCTTAGAAGCCCTCTAGGGGGTTGTATATTTGAGAATGTTCTTCTGCTTCATAAGCTTCTCTCTTATAATATCATACATTTTCTTTCTTTTCTTTTTTTTTTTTTTAGATGTAGTGTAGACACTATTATAAAACTTTTGCTTGGTTATCATTCCTTCTTGCCAGGTCGTTCTGGACTCTGTAAAGGCTTTCGTTTGTTCCTGTATTTTTCACTGAGGACATATATGAGTAGGAGGTCACCTATTTTAGCCGAGCTAATTCACACCTGGACCGATGTTACTGTGGTAATGATGGCTATCCACCATTTGTGGTTTTTGTTTTGTTTGACCAAATAATCTGGTTATGGTCAAGGCAAATGGATTCCTTTCTCCAGTAAAGTAAAATGGTATGTCATTACACAGGGCTAGTTTATTTTACCATAGTAGAAAAGAAATGCATTCATTTTCAATAAAGTCATTTGAGAATGGTAAGAAGCCATAGTTCCACAAATATAGCAGATTTTGAAAATTTGACTTAAAAAGTTCTTGTCTAAATCAATTGGCTAGGTTTCCTATGAAAAGAAAACTTATATGTATTATGTATTACTCTATGTGCTCTATCTGTATACATTCTGATTTCACAGACAGATTCTTGGGGCGACTAACTTTGAAAAATATTGTATTTTATATGGGATTGTAGATTGATATAACCTTCCTAGAAAGAAAAATGATGATATAGATCAGAAACCTTACAAATGTGCATAATCTTTGACTCAGCAATTCTCCCTCTAGGAATTTATTTCCAAGAAATAATGGTGATGTCCTTAAAAATTTAGCTCTATGGAAGTTCGTCACAGAAAAATGGAAAATAATTTAAATGTTCAGCAATAGGTACCTGGTTAAGTAAGCCATCAGTAGAAAACTTTAGCAAGCACTAAAAATTATATGTGGGAATGTATTTGGTCACTTGGATAGATATACTTTGTAGCTTAAAAACAAGCTTACATGGTACTATAGAGAATCTGATACCATTTTTGTTAAATATAGACATGCATATATGTACAGAAAAATATCTTGAAGTATATATGCTAAACATTTTGAGTCATCTGACTGGAAGAACAATGAGTAGTTTTCATTTTTGTATTTTTACTGACCTAGATTTTTAAAGTTTTCTTTGTACAGAAAGTATTTATTTAATAAGGCAAAACTATTTTTAAAAGAAGATACTTTAAAAAAGAAACATTATATATCTGAGATGGGCTCAGTAGTACTTTATTTACTTAAACATTTCTATTCTAGAGTATTTCAAAAGGAAATGTAAATTTCCTAAAGGTTCAGTTCCAGTAAGTCAATATGAATAACGAATGTGTGGGAGAGTACTATTCTTGTAGGCTTTCAGTTAAAAAAATACGTTTATATGCAATAGTTATGATTATACACATGCAGAGTCTATAAAGTGCAAAGCATCTCTGAGGGCCATTCCTTTTTACATACTTCACATAACTTCTGCCTAAAACTTTTTGAACTATTCCAATTATAACTGCTTGTTCTGCTTTTGCTTTTACAATGCCTTTCCTCCTTAACTATGGATTTTTTTTAATAGATAATTGCATGAGTGTTGATCTCTAAATTTAGTATACTCTGCCACCTCCCTGCAACTTGCCTGTGGTGCTTAGTAAACTTTGCACTAGTCTGAGACAGTTCAGCAGTGCTAACCAAGCTAAGAGATTGTTCAGCAGCCTTACTATGATAAGAAGTTCTGCATACAGGTATTGGAAGAAGCGGCAGATCTGGCTATTGTCAACCATCTTGAAGTTATTTTCTGCTGTGCATGGTTTTGTCATTTTAGCCCTCTGACTCCAAATTTCCTCCCTTTACTATTATTCTATGTCATATTCTCATTTATTCAAAAATGTATTTTCAGCATTTACCAGATGCTAGTCACTGGCCTAGGTCTTGAAGAAGGAGGAATAAGGTGTAGTGCACGATTTCAAGGAGCCCTGTGGTTAAAGAAGCAGGTGTATTCTGAGTGTTCTAGGTAGGAGGAGTAATTCTTAGGGCTCCCCTATAGTATGGACCTCATTCCCCATGTTCTGTAAATGTTCATTGATGCTGATGTTGACAATATTCATGACAAAAAAGAAAAGATGGTTGGCACTCATGGTTGCCCTTCTCCTACCATTAGGATTGCCTGACTTAGTAAATAAAAATATATAATACCCATGCAATATTTGGGACATTCCTACACTAAAAAGTCACTCATTGTTTGTGTGAAATTCACATTTAACTGGGTGTCTTTATTTTATCTGGCAACCCTATCTATTAATACTATGCAATCTCCCACTGACCTCTCGGAACAGAGCTCAGACATGACACGCTCTGCAGGAAACCTTTCCTCTGCTACCTCTCCTGCTCCTGCAGAGTTGCATTTGATGGCATTCTCCATGCTGGCTTTCCTTGCTCATATATCCCTAACAACAGCACACACTCCCAAGAGGGCACCTGCCATACTAAGGCAAAATAGTACATAAGCATACACACACACACACACACACACACACACATACACTCACACGCAATTGCTCTAATTAGAAGTGATCAGTGATTGGTCATACCTCTGTTCTGTAAAAGCCATGCCATCTGGATTATCTCAAAATTTAATCAGAAAATTGAAAAGAATGGCAGTGTAAAGAAACATTTTTATCCCTCAATTTGTTTGTCACAAAGCCTCGTGTGTCACTAATGGGATATGCATTGATGTGCTATGTTGTTTCCATGATGTCTGCTCTTACTTCCCTCCCATGTTCCGGGATCGTTTATGTGTGGTCAGGCTTTCCTCAGAGGGAAATTGATTAGTAGGGACTGCTCTGTTGTTCATGGAACTGTGTCGAGTCCATGTGGATTATAAGATTAACAGGAATGGGCAAGGCACAATTTGTTTGACAGACTGAAGATGAGACATTTCAGTCTAGACAAGATAGCTGTGATTCAGCTGAGGGGCATTTGGCATCTGCTGGTGAGATTTATTGGTCTCCATGAAAAGGCAAGTTTCAAACCACGCTGAGAGTCACATGTTGATCATCCATGTTACTCAGTGCATGAAGATAAGCCGTTTCATTTGTGGGGTCAAAAGCTGATTGGGCCAGCAGAGAGCCCAGGGTGGGAAGACTTGCATTCAAACCTGGCAGTACTTCCCACAGGTCACCACAACACTGCGTGCAGCTATTTTAGTGCCAGAACAACACCGCCAGCTCTGGCAACTTGGTGTTTCACTCATTCTCACTGTCTCTGCATTGGGGCCAGCATGGTCCTCTGGTCCCTTTCTTAGCTCTTCTTATCTTAATGATGTACCTGATGTAGAAACTGATAATGACTACACAGGAATGCATGGATATATAAATATCGTGAAAATTCAAGCACTTCAGGGAAAATGAAAGGTTTGCCTGACAGCTCACCCTCATGTCATGCCCCTCTCCTTCCCTGAGGTAAACTACACTTACTAGTTGGTATGTGTCCTTGTTTGATATATTTCTCCCCACCAAGCAGTACGTTCTCTGAGGGCAGGTGCAACAACTGGCTTGTTTGCAACTTTCTCTTAAATGCCTGACAAGACCCACAGAGATTGAGAGAGACCCGGATCACTTTCATGGGTGTGGGTAGAAGGACTTGCGTATGTATTTTTTTTTTTTTTTGAGACAGAGTCTCGCTTTGTTGCCCAGGCTAGTGTGAGTGCCGTGGCGTCAGCCTAGCTCACAGCAACCTCAAACTCCTGGGCTCGAGCGATCCTTCTGTCTCAGCCTCCCGAGTAGCTGGGACTACAGGCATGTGCCACCATGCCCGGCTAATTTTTTTTATATATATATCAGTTGGCCAATTAGTTTCTTTCTATTTATAGTAGAGACGGGGTCTCGCTCTTGCTCAGGCTGGTTTTGAACTCCTGACCTTGAGCCTGGCCACGTATGTATTTTTTGAGTGGCCAAAACAGGATTGTAAAAATTGTGATATGTTTTGAAGCTGAATCCTATAAGCGTATCTCTGTGACTGTATATACAATATAATTTGGGGGTAATATTAAAAAATCTACATGATAAGCCCTTTATGGATACGAGGCCCAGGATAGATGGCTCACTAGACTTGGCTTATGATATATCCAGTCTATCACAGCACCTGGCACATAGTAGGTGCTCAATGATTATTTGCTGGATAACTGAAAAGGTAATGAAGCCATGTGTCAATGACAGGGAAGTTATTTGGAGGTTTAGTTCTTTCTGTATAGGAATATGAGAAGGACAAAGTCAGGTGCTGGGGAAAATTGAGTTCACAGAATGGTAGATGGCAACTCAAGTGTCCACTTAATGTCCTCTACTACTGCTGATGTTTTTGTCTTTGGGATACCCCAAGGCTGGTTAGATCATGAACGCTGTTGTACCTGTACTCTAGTGTTGTTGCAGTTTTGCATTGTTTGGTTGATTCATCTGTTTTCCCCTCCAGATTAGAAATGTGTCTTATTTGGTTTTGTATCCATGGCACCTCTTACACAGAGACAGTAAATGTTTATTGAATCAAAAACTGCCATGTGATTTCTTATGGTTCTCAAGTCTGATTGAATATTATCCTGTGTAGCAAAACTGCTGCAAGGCTCTAGACCATTCCCCCACCACCACCACATTGCCACTTCTTTGTATGAGTTCCTCCACATAGCTGTCATTTTATCATACCACTTTTAGAGAGGCTCTCTGAACAGACTAATACCCAGTTCTCTTTTGTAGCCCAGCTGAAGATTATATATATGGTAACTTCCTACACAAGAATAATTTGAGCTCTTAGAAAGAAAATGATCCCTGACAAAAAGAAAGGTAACAGAGTGAGATAAGTATTTAAGTAAATAAATATGCACCCTCAGTGAAACCTACTCTGTGTTTTAGGATTGCCAGGACAGCCTCCATCCACATCCTCATTTCTCTGTTGGTATCCCTGTGTCCTTTTGAGCCCTAAAGGAACTTTTGCTTCTGGGGTGGTAGTAAGAATTTCAAATGGCAGGGGTGCAAGATGGATGTCACTACCTGAATAAGCCTTCCCCCCTTTACCCACTGAGTAGATGTGGATTTCTTCCCAGACTACATCCAAGAGTATCTGTAGTTAGGAAGAAACAAGAGTGGAGTGGGTGATGGACAGAAATGTCCTCTTGTCTTGGATAAGTACTTTAAAAGGAGTTGGTGTTGCAAAGAAGAGGGCAGTGTCTTCTTTTAATTACTATCAGCTTGCATGTAGTCATAAGGTTTCCTGGCATTTATGAAGAATAAAGGAAGGCACTATTATGGAAAAATTTAAGTGAGCTTTTCTTAGGCTGGCAAAAGACTCATATGCTGCAAGTTGTAGGATTTCCTTAGTATCTGAGCAATGTCTGGGGGAGGGGAGTTGTGTTTGGGAATAATCTACTAGAGCCAGGGAGAGTGGGGAGGGGTCTCCTTTCTTCCTGACAATACCCTTTCCTCCAGGTGGCCTGAGAAGTGACTGAATGCGTTTCCTGAGAGAAGCTAGACTTTCCCCTATGTCTGAAATTAGTTTATTTATGTATTTACTTACTTGTTTGTTTTCTTTGTTCTCCGTTGTGTCCCTAGTGCTTAACACATAGCATACACTCTTTAAATATTTATTGAGTGAATAGATATGTGTTCCAGTATTTTACCTTATAAGTATATTTTAATTTAAGTTGAATATCAGATCGGTTCAACAACTTTACATCTTAAAAGAACGGTGTAACTGTGAGCAAATCTAAGTTTCTGTGCTTTATCTGTAAATAAGGATAATAAGAATACCTACCCCAAAGGGTGATTGTGGAAATGTAAAATGCTGAGAACAGTGCCCCATACATAATATGTGGTTAATAAATGATAATTGTCATCATCATCATCTGTTGCCTACTGTGTTAGACACAATGCTAAAGTCCAAGAAGACAAGGGCAGACAAGACAAATGTAGGTTCCTGGAGGTAGTGACACCTAAGCTGAGCCTTCAAAGGCAATAGCTGATAAGAGTTTGAATTAGGACAGTGACAGCAGGTATGAAGAAGAAGAGAATTACTTAGGAGGTAAGATTGGCAAGTCTTAACAATTAATTTGGAGAGGGAGGGGGTGGGAAAGAGAAAATAGACTAGGGATAAGCTCAATTTTCTAGCTGGGTATATGTTTGTGCCACTAACTGAGGGAGAACAGGTAGGAGGAGGAGCAGATTTAGGGGAGCAACTGGTGAGTTCTGTTATAGACAAGTTTCTTTGGATTGTCAATGGGTTAGGCAAGTAGAGATGTCTATCCAGTAGTTGGATATATGGGTCTAGACCAAGCAGGAGATGAATGCAGATGGGAGAGATAGATTTGAAAGTATCAGCAAAAGCTATAGGTGCTAAGACCATAAGAATCAATGGATCTGTCTAGGGAGAATTTATAGGGTATGAAAAGAAATGGGCCAGTGCCAGAACCCTAAGAATCTCTTGTGTTTAAAGAGTGGGGAGCAGAAAAGGAAACTGAAGAGGATGGTCAGAGAGGCATGAGAAGGATAAAGATGGAGTATTCTGATTGTTTGATCTGTCTCTGTCTCTTTGCCCAGATGACTCCACAGAATTCCCCTCAACACAACACTCTAATGCAGCCCTTCCAAACTAAGCTCCCTTTGCCACTGTTGATCGAGACCTAAGGTCATCTTACTGATGTGATATGTGAAGCTCAGAGTGGGGAATTAATTCATTAAAGGCTAAGGTCAAACTCTTTGGGCTATTCTTTATATGCCTCCCACGAAACACATCTTATTGCCAGGCATGTGTCTGTGGAGTCCTTGGCAGATGTCAA